AACTGCTGGTTAAATTGGTCAACATGTTTCTGGTGAAGAGATGAAAATGATGGGATTATTTGTGGTTGATCAGTTATTGAAATACTCATTAAATGATGTAATGGTTACCTGGAGTATCAGGAAAACCCACCCAGAGCTGATGAGCCCAAACTCTTCAGAGGAACGATGCAGCGTAAAAACGCTGTTTGCAGAAATCAGTTAGCATTTCTGACCATTGATTTCAGCCTTAATTATGTCTCAGCAACATTTAAATTATGGAATAAATGTGTTTTGTTGGTTTAAATACTTGCTTATTGATGAACTCGGATGCCTAAATAATTGGACGTGTGCTGCGGAGCGTTTGCTCTGATGCAGCTTCGGCCGCTGCGTCGTTCTCAGGGGCGTCCCGCCTCCCACAGCAGCAGCCGCTCCGCCTCCCACAGGTGTGGAGACGCAACGAGAGCTCCGGACCGTCGGATGTGGAAAAAGAGGAGGAGGGAAAGTGAAGTCGAAAAAACTGGATTGGCTCTAGTTTCACTTTAGCTACATGAGCCGGACTTCTTTGTCCCGCGAGCGCTGACTGATGGCCTGAATGGGGCCCTTTGAAGCAAGCTCCAGTTTTAATTAAGAGGGTTTGCCTCGCCTGGGCTGCTGATCTGTGAAAGCCACAGGGATAAATATTGAATGGGGTTCACCCGCTGGTTACTGCGCCCCAGGGATAAACAGGTGCTTCAGAGGGCAGGTATTTGCCAGGGCCCCTACCTGCTCAGCGTGGGGGTGGGGGTGGGCTACGGGCTGTGGAGGGCCTCCCTTATTGGAATGAATTCCAGGTCCTGGAAAGCTGTGGAATGAGGAGTAAATTGGCGTCCAGTCAGCGGCGCCAGCGCTGCCTTGCTGATCCACTACCTGTGAGCTCCTGGTGCCCCGCCCCCAGAGGGCGACCTCTCTGTTGATGAGGTGTTCAGTGACCTCTGGATGCTAGCAGCTGTGAGCCTGGTGATAATAAAGGGATCTGTTTGTTAGCCTCCTAACCAAAGGAACACCTTGTTCTCAGAGGGGGCAGCCGCGGCGCTGCCACCGCTCCGCATTCCTTTCAGAGGGGTGTCTGCTCGGGCCCCGGGGCCAGGCTTCAAACCTCCTTGTCTTGGCATCTCGTGAAGCAGCCGCGTAAAAAGATACTCTTGTGTCAGCTGTTTCCTGCTGCAGCTCTGGACAAGGGCCTCTATTCATCAGGATGCCCCTCTACGCCCCCCCCACCTGCCAATGAATAAGTAATTATCGGCCATCTTGGTGCAGGATATTTGGATGGCTCCATTTAACGTGGCAGCAGCAGGTAAGGCGATCGGCCCCGGGGCCCAGGCTGTGGAGCATGACTGTTGGAGAGGAGAAAGGTAACCTGAGCTGGTGTTGGGGCCCTGAGCACCTCTGTTTATTTTTCACATGGCTCAGGGCTCGTTATCCCTCTTAACTCTCTCTGCGCTCTGCCTGGCCCACACTTCAGCACACATTGTCATTTCTGATGGGCAAACATGCCTGGAAAATCTGAGCCTGTGGGGAACCAGAGCTGCACGTCTGTCATCAGAAGTGTTACCTTCTGATTACCGCGATAAAACGCAAAGCCAGAACCGACGCATGACATCACATACCGCTCATTCCTGTGTGGATTCACCCCGATAGTCTGATAAATCAGGTTAATATGGACCAAAACGAAACGCTGCTCGCTCTGACAGACATTCAACGACTGCTGGATTGGTTCGTTGAGCTAACTACCTGTTTTCAATGTTCCTAAAGTCACACCTGAAGTAGGTCAGAGTGAAGAAGTCGGCGGTCGGTACGTGATTCTACGATGCTACCGATGGTGGAAATTCTCTACTTGCAGTGCAACCGTTTACAGAAGAGAGAAAATAAGATAGTAAATATAATAGAGATAAAAATAAAATTACACCCCTTCCATATAAACAGTGTAAAATAATAATTTAAGACTAAAATAAGCATCTCAGTATTTACAATCAACAGTGTTTTCATCTGACAATGCTGCTCAGTAACTAAATTAATATTATTGTACGTGATATTGCACACAGTGAAGTAATGAAATGGGTAACAAATAAGTAATGAAGTTAAAGAAAATTCCAGAGGAGCTTTCTGATGAACAGAAGAAACGTTTCTAGCGTCTCGCTGTCCGACGCCGGCTGCTTCCTGGCAGTAGTTCCAAATGTGCAGCAGAA